GTTAGGGCCGCCAAAAATAAAGGGGCCCCCCCCCCCCCCCCCCCCCCACTGTGTATCCGTATCGCGCACCTCCAGCTTCAAGTCCACTTCGAAGCTATCGCCGTCGTCATCTTCGTCGTCGCCATCTTCGTCACTGCTACGGCCACCTCCTCCGTCCCCACCATCGTCGCTTTTCTCGCCCACCTTTTTCACTACTCGCACCCTCAACGCCTCCAGCGACGAAATCGCGGGCCGTGCGGATGCGGTGGCGGTCCCCTAATTAGTTGTGCAGGACGTTGCCCGACGCGCGAGACAGATCAAAGAAAGAGCTGGTGAACACTCGACAACGACAGACTCAGACTCAAACGTTGGCTCGCGTTGAGACAGGCAACTTATCCACTTGACTGGGATTTGTCGCCGAGGAGTGCTGCGGCAGCCTCGACACATATTGTTTGTGCATTGCATTCAACAGGGTACGGTTAGAGACTCGAATGGGGAAGGGCTTGAGACATCTTATGCTCCAACCTGTGCGGCAAGTCAGGGTGAGGAAATTAAACTTCGTTTCACGATGTGCTTGTCGTTTCTCGATGAAGGCCACAGCTCAGCAGCGCGATGAAAAAAAACAACTGCGATGTCACCACGGCAACTCACCGACTTCACCGGTGGTGCTCGCGTGCTCGGTCTACCCGCCGCTCCAGCGCTAGCCTCCTCGTCAACACCGCCCGCTGTTCGCCCCCCCCGCGATCGGTCGCCGCTGCTCGCAACGGTCATTGCAGACAAAGAAGCAGAGGAGCGACCCAAGCTCCCGGTCGCTGCTGCTGTTGGTTGTTGAGTGCTGGGACCCCCCTTGTTGCTGTGTTGCTCCTGCTTACCGCCAGCGTCTGGCGTGGTGTTGGTCGATGCGGAGCCCGTTGTTGGGCTGCCACCGGTGCCATCGTTCGGTCGGGGAGCGGGCTTCCAGCTCAGGATGTGAGATATGTCAGTCCCGAAGGGATTACTTGGGACCGAATCTACTTCTGCTGCTGCTGCTGCTGCTGCTGCTGCTGCTGCCGCACGGTCCGTCTTCGCAGCGGCGCTCGGGTCGGATGCACTGCTGCCAGTAGCCCTGGTGCTGGCGGTAGCACCACTGCTCCACTTTGAGGCCTGTTGCCTGGCCTGTTCGGCTCTTGTAGCTGCCGTGGTCGCTGCTGTTGCCACTGCTTGCGGTGTTCCGCCGCCGCGAGCGCGCTTGCGCGTCGACGCGGACGAGCTCTTGCCGCCTGCTGCGGCGCCCTTCGTAACGGTCTTCGACGTGAGCCGGCCGCCGCCGCTCTTGCTGTCTGGCGTGGACGCCGGCAGCGACCAGAACGAGAGCGAGATGTCGGCCGCGACGCTGTTGTTGTTGATGCGGACACGCTGAGGACCAGTGAAGTCGCCGCTGCTGTTGCTGGCGTCGGCTATTTCCTCCCCCTGCCGCTTGCGGCGAACAGCCGAGGAGGCAGCAGCGGTCGTCTTGGCCCTCAGGGCAGAAGACGGGACGCCGCCGTTTCCGTCCGCGCGCAAGGATAAGGCCGACCCCTGCCCGCCGCTCCTGCCTGCCGCCGCCGCGCGCTTGCTGGTGGTTGCCGCCGCCGTTCTCCCGGAGTTGTTAGCGCCAACTCGCGCTGTGGGTGTCTTGGGGACGGCTCCTGGCTTTGTCGCCCAAGGCCTCGAGTTTTCCTGTCCCGCTGACGCGAGCGTGCTGCTCGTGTGTTCCATGCTCTGCTGCTACTCTCCTCCCGCCTGCAATGTTGGTGCCGCTGCCCCAAGTGGGACTTGCCTCGCCTCAGAGAGAGCACACGCAAACTCTTCCCTTACTCGCGTGGCACAGACAAAAGCTAAAAGTATCCTATGTACCTGTGATGATCGTCAAGATAGACAGACACAGCGAGCAGCAGGAACACAGCAGGGACACAGCAAAGGCAAGGCGGCAAGGCGGAGAGCATGAGAGAGCAAAATCATCAACGGCAAAAACACCGCCTCCGAAGATGTCGAACAACCCGATCATGCTAATTGCGCCGCATCAGGCAACGCGGTCGTCTCGACGGGAGACGGGAGCGATCAGCACCACCAACTGCTGACGCACTCCGCCCAGGCCGAGCCGGAAGGCACTGCGTAATTCAGCGGGTGTACCTGATCGTCTCTACCAACTGTGGTAAGCCGGATGCGTTGGGTACCCCGCGTAGACTATATCCGTCCTTCACTCGGTCAGCACCAGCCAGCTTTTTGCTTTAGCATTCTCGCCGCGTGTTGAAGCTTTTCTGTCCGCCTTTGGCGTAAGCTGTGCCCGCCGAAGGTGCAGGGTGTAGGCCGCGGCTGATGATTCTAGCAAGAAATCGGCGCTCAAGGCTTTTCGATCTCTCTCTTGGATGTTTCACGACTCGATTGCATACAAAGCAGCAGCTGTACAAGTATGTAAAGTGGTGGTACGCTTGCTTACTACAATACGTTCCCAAACTGAGCAAGCAGCAGTATAGCGGTAAGCTTAACCGAGAGAAGACCGACCCGTGTCCGAGGCGCTAACGCACACTCCTACGAGTTAGCGCTCGCCTGGCGGGCTTGCGATCATCCCAGCACGTTTTCCCGGCTTACTCGGCATCGCATAGGCAGCACTCCCGCAGCCAGTTGCGGTTCACGCCTTTGCGTGTCGGCTTTGTCGCACACGTAATTGACCGCTCGGGCGCTATCTGCATTTGGCCAGCCCCAAGACCGGCCTGCTACGACAGCCTTTCGGACGCAGAGATCAGTAGATCGCATGGAGCCGTGCATAACCAGTGGACAATTCGGCATATTTGCCACATATATGTACCTGCTTCAAGTTTGAAACCTCGGCACCGTAACAGAAGTATGCTGCCTGCACGACACAAAGCATCAGCTGTGGCGTCAGCCGCAGTAACACTAAATAGCAGGAGCTGCACAGCGATTGTATGCACAGGCTTCAACTGTTTTGGATAATGTATTCCTGCGCCAATCCGGGTGCAGATACGAAGGCGATTTATGTTTTGTCTGCCCCACAATCGGGTTCCTTGGGAAAAATGTGCATGTGTAACCGTTTTTGAAACCTTGCATGGCATGTATTCGGCAAGGCTTGCAAAAAGGCCAAGGTAACCTGGGTACAGGGTACAACGGTACTGTATCGGGGTACACACATATTCTAGCACTTTGAGGATCTAACTGGGTTTTGGTAGACTCCATGCACCATCATGCACACGTGCCCGTCGATAGGTAGATGCTGGGCAGTACCGTCGTCCCTCGGTTAAGCACACACATGTTTATTTGTTTTACAGTAGCGGCTACGGTTTAAGAGAGGGTCGGTACAAGCCAATTTCACTCTCTTAAATCCGGCTTTCTGTTATATCGTGTTGGCTACGATATAAGAGAGAATTTTCTTAAACAGAATCTCACTTTAAGAGAATTCTCTCTTATATCGTAGACAAAACTGAAGGTCGTGAAACAGGGGCTCTCGCGCACTGACTACACTCGAATGCCAAAATAGGTCATAAAGAGAGCGTATCATGCATGTCACTTGCGCAGCTAGCGTTACCACGTCGGGCTACCTCCAAACACCGCTCATTCTCTTGGTTGGCAAGCACGTGGACCCAAGCACTGCTGTACGTTGTACGCTTTTGGTGGATCTGCGTTCGGAAAAATAAATCATCGTCGTGTGATGCGATGCACATTTTTGCACGTGGACACGTAAAAGGTTTTGGTTGAGTTGTTTTATAGCTGGGTTTCATAGTTGCACCTCTTCTAGAAGGACAACACGAGGCGACGAATGCACCAGCACTCAAGAACGACGCACCCGTTTACACACTGCACCTTCCTCCCACCGTACCCTCAACATATGTAACACCCTCATACCTCTCATCCCATCGATTTGAACCCCCGACAAAAACACGAGTCAACGAACAAAAAACAGCTTCACAATATCAAAACATCACTCGCCGTACAAATAACACAAACCCAAGAAACCAACGCTACCCTGGCGACCTGTCAGCCTGAACACGATCTGCGCTGCAACCGTCAAAGGAAGTCGCTCATGCACGTCTGCTTGGTTTCCCTCGAACCGTAGGCACTCATCCACGCTAGCTTAGCCTTGCGGAGGTGAAAAGACACTTCGGACATGCGGCACTTCTCGGCAGTATCCTCAAGTTCACCAAAATGATTTGCTACATCCGCGTACGGCGGCGGAGCCGGGGCCTCTGCCGCCGCCGACTGTCCCGATTGGCGTAGCTCAACCAGGTCGTCGTCCTCGTCGTCAGAGGAAAGATCCATGCCCACCAAATTCTCATCACAGAGGTCCTCTACCATCTCTGTAACGATCGCTTCGGCTACCTCCACGTTGTCCTCTACAGACAGCCATGTGTCTACCGCCTTCATGGCAGCCGGCGTGGGCTTCGCCCCCGGTGCCAGCCCCAAGCCAGCGAGCGCGTCTGCGATGTCTTCGTCGATGCCTTTTGCACCCTTCGTTCGCAAGCTCATGCGCGAAATCAAGGTCTCCAGCTCGTCCGCTCCGTCCTGCTTGCCGGTGGTCTTCGTGCGGCCAACCTCCGCGTCGATGTCGGCGTGCATGGCTGCAGAGAGGATATCTGCCTTCTTCCAGCACCTGCAACCCGGGCGGCAAGAAAAAAAAAACGAGGCACGCACAGAGAAAAAGTGTGGGCCATGATTTTGTTTTCGTTTCCTTGTAATTTTTCCTTGTTATATGAGAAGATGCTCCATGTGAAATTTTGACCCCAAGGTAATCTCTACCGTTGCAACGAGAAGGAAAAAAAAAAAAAAGATCAAGCACAAGCAACAAAAACTCCATGTCAAAAATGAACAACGATGAGAGCTGAAAAAAAACAACGAATCCACGCACCTCCTGATGGTGTCCTCAGAAACACGCCCCCACGCGTCGTTGCAGAGCTCAGCGGCGTCGAGTAGGTGAGGTGCGGATCCCTCCGCCAGCCCGTGGCAGCCGCTGACCACCTTGCGTCTTATCGCTTCCGTTCGGAGGTTCGCCGCGTCGTCCATCGTGTCGACGCGGATGCGGAGCAGCAAGGTCCTGAAGATCTTCTTCAGGGCTGCGATGATCCCGGCGTCGCAGGGCTGGTGTTTGGCGGTGCAGTTCGGCGGCAGCTCCAGGACCGTCACCTGCCCACGGGGGTCCACCAGGTTCGCGTGGCTGCTGTGGTTGTCCATGATGAGCAGGACGGGTTTGCTGGTGATGGAACGCACCCACGGAAGAAGCACCTCCTCCCACCACAAGCCGAAGACGCGCGCGTCAGACCACGCGTTGGACTGGCTGAAGTACTTGACGGGCAGCTTTCTGAGCCTGAAGCACCGGGGGTTCTTGGAGTGGCCGATCATAGCCAGTGGTACCTTGCGGCCGCTGGCGTGGGCCGCCACGTACAGCGTGACGCGATCCTTGAATCCCATGCCTTTCACCCCCCGCACCGTGCGCTTGTCCTCCCCAGGTGCGGTGTACGTACTGCGGGGCAACATCTTGTACTGAAGCGCAGTCTCGTCGCAGTTGATGATGTTGTCCGGGTCGTACTTCGCGATCATCTCTCGGACCTTGCGGATTCCGTCGGCGATAGCTGCATCGTCGACGCTTCCCGCCTGGCCGTGCAGCTTCCTGGACTTGAGGTTGTGGCGAGCGATGAACTTCTTTGCCCACCCCTCAGAGGCGATGAACTTGTCGAGTCGGTCACGTTCTGCAGGTGTTGATGCCTTGGCTGCGACAGTTGCTTTCGCTTTGCGCCCAAAGGCCTGGATGGCCAACCGATCCACAGGCAGACCATGCGCCCGCGCGTGTGTGAGGAGCTCCATCACAGCCTTTTCCACCTGCCAATCGATGCGAAGGAGAGCAACAAGTTGGAAAACAGCAGGTTCAATTCGTACATGCAGGGTGTGGCAGCGACAATGTTTCTGATCATAGATGACAAGCGCACAGGACCCCAAGTACCAAGAGGTAGAGCCGAGCACACCCTGCTGGACATCAAGTATTCCCCGCAAAGTTTTGAACATGCGATGGACTTCAGACTAGACCTTTTGGCTTTTTGCCATTGCCAAAAAAAAACACAACAGCAGTAGTAGCACGTGAAAAGATCACCAATAAGTCCGCGGGCATCATGCATGTGTACATACATGGCACACAAGCGTGTCTTTTCACAGCAGTACATAACACACAAGCATGTCTTTTTCACAGCAGTACTACTACTACTACCTTGTAATACATAGTGCACATGTGTGAGCGTACCAAAAACTCACATGCTGTAAACCATACATGATCGTGGCGCAGCAGCAGAAACATATTGTATATTACTACATACATAGTTACGAGTACACACGTTTCTAACTTGATTGTTGAACACGGAACAGCAGCAGATACACATGTCTTCTTTCACTTGACTTTTGAACAAAAAAAGAAAACACACCGCCCGTGACACAAAAGAAAAAAAAACTGTCCTGAACGCACCTTTGGAAACTCTCCTCCCTTCGTAGACTTCGCGCCAGCCTTGCCGACCGCTGCTGCGTCCTTAAGCTTCTTCTCGCCACTCTTCCAGCTGTAGACGGTGCTCTCGCCTATCCCCAGCTTCGTCGCGACTGCGGCGACAGACATCGTCTTCAGAAGCTCGATGGCGTTCACCTTCACCTCGACCGACACCCGCTTGCGCTTGGCTGCGCCGCCTTTTTTTTTCGCGCCATGCTGGCCAAGTCTCAAGCTACCACTTGCACCCGGGGAGCCCTTGCCTTTGCTCCCCGAGGAGTTGCGCTTCTCTGACGGCGCGCCAGCAGTCCCACCAGCACTCCCCACGCCTGAAGTCATGCGCTCACGGGAGGAAAGGCAGTTGTGGCAGATGCGATGCATCTCGGAGGTGCCCTGAGGGTCCACCACACCACAGGTGCCATGGAGGTACTGCAGACTCCTCTACATTGGTGGTTTGTGAACGCCGGCGGGCCTGGCGTGTGATCGGGGACAGCCGTGCAGCGACTGCCCGCCACGCAGGGCATGGTGTCTGCAGCTGTGTGGGTGTGTGTGTCCACGTGGTTTCCACATTGTTCGATTTAAGAGAAAAATCCCAGCTGCAAAAGGAAATTTCTCTTAAATCGATTGTTATTGGTACACGCCAATTCCTCTCTCTTAAATCCGTACTTTCTCTTAAATAAGTTCTCTTAAACCGTAGCCGCTACTGTATCAGATGTCCGCCGTGTAGTGTCCTTAAGGTTGATACCCCTCCTTGTGTTGTACATTCTGCGAGCCACCATGCCTGTGACATAAAAATTGTCCTTACCCGGGGGAGTGTCCTTAAAAATGGTTTCCTTAACCAAGGGATGACTGTATGTCCACGTACCATAGCGATGATAGGGTTGGGTAGCACTTTCATGTGTTATCCAGGGCATGAATCATATCTGGCTAAAAAGTCTTTACACCTAGATCCAGGGTACTGGTGTACCCTTCCAACACCTGTATATGCTTTGGCATCAGGGTGGACATTGGGAGAGCAATATAGTCTTGTGCACACTGGCGAGGTTGGAAGCAGTAGATTCTGAAACGGGAATCGTGGAAGCACCACAACAAGGCCCCCTTCTAACTCTCTGTCTCTCCCTCTCCCTCTTCTCTCTGTCTCTCCCTCCTTCTCTCTCTGTCTCTCTCTGTCTGTCTCTCTCCCGCCCCCCCTCTATCCCCCTCCTTCACTCTCTCTCTCTCTCCCTTTCTCTCCTCCAC